TGCACTCCAGCCTAGGTAACAAAGTGAAACTGTGTGTCAAAAAATACATATATTAAATTTCAGCTGCGTACGGTGGCTCACACCTGTAATCCTCGCACTCTGGGAGGCCAAGGTGGGTGGATCGCTTGAGCTTAGGAGAGCTTAGGAGTTCAAGACTAACCTGGGCAATACAGCAAAACACTGTTTCTACAAAAAATACAAAAATTAGCCTGGCATAGTGGCATGGACCTGTAATCCTAGCTACTCAGGCGGCTGAGGCAGCAGGATGGCTTGAGCCCAGAAGGTCGAGGCTGCAGTAAGCTGAGACAGTGCCACTGCCCTCCAGCCTGGGTGAGAGAGCAAGACCCTATCTTTAAAAATATAATAATAAATTAAATTTCATTACTCAGATATTTATGGTGTACTACTATTACATGAAAAAAGCTAAATTTGCCAAACAACATGTATCATATAATCCTTTTTAAAAATACAGGCATATAATGGAAAGGAGGTCTAGAATGACAGACACTTACAGTTCAACGCTGTTATTTCTAGGTAATAGGGGTAAAGGGGAATTTTTCCTTATTGTTGTACATCTCTATGTTCAAATTTTTTGTAGCGAACATTTATCACTTGTAGACTTTTTTTTTGGAGACAGGATCTCACTCTTGCTGCTCAGCAGGAGTACAGTGGCACAATTATGGCACACTGCGACCCTAACTTTTTTTTAATTAGTTTTTTGTTTTTTGTAGAAATGGGGTCTCCCTGTGTTGCCCAGGCTGGTCTCGAATTCCTGACCTCAAGTGATGACACTTTTTAGAGTTAGAAAAATAATCTGTTAAGACAAAGACAAATCACAGGCAAACCATGTTACCATTATATTCAGCATGCACACCAAATTAAATCTTACTTGAGACATTTATGAAAACATAAATTCTTCCTAATTCTATATATATCTGTCAATAGATATCCCTTTTCCCTATCTAGCAACTTTCCTGCCAGCCAAATCTTCAATTATTTTAAATAACTCGCACTGAAAGTGTCTGCTGTTGCTAATCTGTATGGTCTACACAAGTCATCTTCATAAAATATATTTCATTTGATTTTACCAGTCCAGTGTGACAATGAACTATATTAATTTAAAAGATGAGCTGGCTGGGACTGGAGTCAATCTGGAAAGTAATAACTGAGTATTAGTGATATAACTGACTTGAGGGTCTGGTCCTGTCTTGAGTATCATCAGGATATACAGAGCCAACTGATACACTTGTAAAATACATACCACTTCTAAACCATACTGCTACAAAGAACTCTATCTTTATTTATTTATTTATTATTTAGATGGAGTCTCACTTTGTTGCCCAGGCTGGAGTGTAGTGGCACAATCTCGGCTCACTACATCCTCTGCCTCCCAGGTTCAAGGAATTCTCTGCCGCAGTCTCCTGAGTAGCTGGGACTACAGATGCCCAGCTAATTGTTTGTTTTTTTGCTTTTTTTTTTTGCTTTTTTTGGGTAAAGACGGGGTTTCACTATCTTAGTCAGGCTGGTCTTGAACTCCTGACCTATGATCCACCTGCCTTGGCCTCCCAAAGTGCTGAGATTACAGGAGTGAGCCACCACACCCGGCCTAGAATTCTATCTTGAATTGAGACAGTAAAACAGATAGGCTGAGCTGTACTAATATGAAGTAGAGCTCCATAAGCCATTAACTTTTTTTTTTAGATGGATTTTCTCTTTTGTTGCCCAGGCTGGAGTATAAAGGCAGAATCTCGGCTCACTGCAACCTCCGCCTCCCAGGTTCAAGCTCTCCTGCCTCAGCCTCCCGAGTAGCTGGGACTACAAGTGTGTGCCACTACATCTGGCTAATTTTTGTATTTTTATTAGATGTTGGCCAGGCTGGTCTCAAACTCCCAACCTCAGGAGATCTGCCTGCCTTGGCCTACCAAAGTGCTGGAATTACAGGCGTGAGCAACCACACCCGGCCATAACTCATTAAATTTTAACTGATCATCTCAATCTCTACTCACTATGCTATTCAAAACCAGATGTCGACACATTTTTCTTACTAGTACTTCAAAAGCATTCAATTTCAAATGAATTCTTGTGTCAAATTCTCCTCAGCATCTACCATCTGGGTACATTTTTTTGAACCCCAGTGATCTAATGTTAAATTTAAGGTACTCCCAAAATAACTGTATTGTAACCTAAGAACAAAGACATGAGGCCAAAATAGCTGCAGTAAAGCCAAATGCTCCTGGGACACCAAACTAGTGAATTATTTAAAGAGAGTTCTCGGGACCACGGTTCACCTAAAATACTGGTTTTCACATTATCTGAAGCTCTTGGCAAGGTATTCTTAGCCTCCTCACACCTAACCACTCTTGTGCTGTGGGAAGGTCACCAAAAGAAGCAGAAGAGTTACCAGCAAGAAGAGAGGCAAATATGGACCTTTCGAAAATGTTCCTTAATATACTGTAACACCTTCATTTAAACCTACCTTGGTATTTCTAACCCATTTTATATTTCCTGAGCTTTGTATCAAAGTAATCACATTACCTCTGCATAATTTAGGTCTCAGAAAAGAAGCATGGCAATTCTAAGAAATATAGAAATCCAAAGAATAAAGAGGTTAAGAGGTCTTCTATGACAGTATTTATAAGATAGGCTGCCTGTCTCCTGGCAACTTAGAAATGTTATATTCGATCATCCGCCACCATAGTAAAAGATGACAGTGCAGATAAATTCTAGCCTTCTTAGAAACGCCAATTTTCAATTTGGTAAGGAAAAAAGAAACACTTCTAGATGAAGAGTTTGCTCCATTAAGATTCACTACTTTAGAATAATGTACTTCTATCCAATTAAAAAAATAAAAACATTTTAAAACACCATTATGACTACGGGATAATCTTAAGACTTCATTGTACAGCCATCCCACTCTGGCTTATTTCTATAATGCTGGTGCTAAGATTAGGTTTCATCAAGAAAGCTGTTTAAAACAAAACACTGCAATGTAAGGGGATTGGGGGAGAGGCAATCCCCTTCAAAAAGAGGTATTTAGTGACTACCATCTGCATGAATAATGACTTGCTGAACAATGGAGTCCTTATATATACATCTTATTACACTTCGGGGCAACAAGTCAGGCATTCAACATCTTTTTACACTTTGGGGGCACCCAGTCAGGCATTCAGTAACAAGTGGAGGAACATGTGCGTTAGAACTAGAATGTGCTATAAAATTGGTTACTTGGTTCCAAAATTTATTTTTAAGATTCCCCTTTTCTGTCCTTGGGAACCCTTCTGTGCAGCCTCCCTGCCATGTCCCTGGAACTCAGGAATCTTCGGGCTCTTTCCTGCTGCTCCCTGAAAGAATACGCAGCATTGACACGTTGGGGTTAGAGTTGGAAAGATGCTCAGTCTCTTCTACAACTGTGTCAGTGGCAGCCTGAGTCCAATGTAACTGTCACAGAATCTGGGTTGTAGGGGAAACTCAGAGAGACAGATCTGAAAACTGGGACAGATTTGGGAACTTCGGCTCTTGGTGCACAGAGATGTTGGGTAACATTAGAGGGGATATC